TCCGCGCGGCTGCCCGGGTGGGAAGATCCGTGGGGTTCGTAGGGCCAGAGGAAGTTGCCTGGAGGCTCGGAGCGATGAGGAGGACGTGCCTTTGTTTTCGGGCGGCCGGGAGGTAGCTCACGGGAACCGGGTTGGCCTGCCGCGGGTCGTGGAAGGACTGGTGAGCGGTTGTGGTTTGTCCACCCGCGACCCACTAGCGACGAGCACGATCGGCGCGTGGTGGGCGGCGGCGGTGGTGGTGTGTGTGTGAGGGGTCGCCTTGTGCTGGGCGTGGCTCAGGCCGCCAGTGTGTGTGAAAATGCCCAGCTTTTAACACGCGTTGCCTTGCTTGGCCCTTGGCGGCCTCTGCTGAAATAGCATATTGCAGTAGGATCGTTTGAAGGGGGGGGGGAGGGTTATTTCAAGGAACGAGTGTGAACTTCTCTGCTTGGGCAGCGGATGGTGGATGCGTGCCAGTGAAGTTCTTGCACGCCAGTATTATGTGAGTGCGCGTAAAACACTGCAGGGGTAGGATCCGCTAGAGGCCAGAATGACTGTGTTGATATAGGCTGTTGTGGTGGGTGCTGGAGTGATTTCAGAGGTCAGTCTTGTGCGCGTGTTGGTGCTTTTCTCTAGATTTGACAGTAATTAACTGGGGCAATAAACCTCTCCTGGAATGTGAGAAATGCTTGGCTTTTTGCCTCTTCTGCCTTGTAGGGGGAACTCAGTTTGGAAACTGGCAAAACAGCAAATGCTTCAGAGCTTTTCTGGAGAGCTGCAGCACCTAAAGGCAGTTCTTCTCCCCTTAATGTGGACACTCACATTATGGAAGCTCTCTTGCCGGATGCGATTTGCAGTTGAGGTTGGTTTGGGGGCAATGATCTCTGGTGAGTGACTAATTCTTTTTTTGGGGGGGGTGGAAGCTGTACTTTCAGGTCAGCAAGGGCTTGAAGGACTAGTGACATTGGCTGGGCTCCCTGGTTTGCTTCTCCACAAAAAAGAGGAGGCACAAAGCTTTAAAAAAAATACAAAACAAACACACAAACACATATTCACACCAACATGAGCTGCCTCAGAGGCTTTGGCAGAGCTTGCTTCCCTGTAAGCACCTGAGCTGGTTTTATTCTCTGTAGAAGCCCAGGCACAGGGAAATAGTAGCAAATAGCTGAGGTATATTAGAAGAGGAAGAAGCCTGTACCCAAACATCTTCCCTTTATTGGTTTACCTACTGCAGTTGTACCCCAGCCTTCCTCCAGTGAGCACAAGGGGTATGTGGTTCCCCACCTCTGTGCTTGTCCTCACAAGAGTCTTGTGAGGTAGGCCAAGGTCACTGAAAGTGACTGGCCCAACATGACCCATTTTGAGGGCTCCGTGTACATTTGTTCTTGTCTCTTCCAGGGTTCAGTCCAACACACTTAGCACTTCATCTCTAGACCCTGAAGAGCCTGCTCCTCTCAACCACCCCCACCTCAAAATTAAAGGCTAGCAGGTTTCATTTAGCATATGCTTTTGGGGATTGCACATTCACTTTTTCCCAAAGCACAAAGTGTATGTTGTCTTCTTGTTCCTTTCCGACCTGAGGGTGGAGGTCACCATGGCTATACTGGTGTTGGACTTGTTGGGTCTCAGCAGTAATGTTGTATCCAGATGACTTTCATGAAATTCTTCTCCTTGGTGCCCTTTGGCCTATTTTCCTAGGTAGATATTTATACACATAGAGCAGGGAGAGTGCTTGTTAGATTTCAAGGTGCCGTTACATTGTTTGTAGAACCAAAGCAAAGCAGGAACAAAACTGTTGTGGCCTGTTCAAGATTGTACAGAACGATATAAGTACAGTATGAGCTGCTTAGATTAGAATCTGCTTCCTCAGACAAAAGGAATACAGTATTTAGGTCACAAGTTTATATACACAGGCCAAAATCCTATTGCAATTTTCCTTTAGAGTACAGTACATGAAATCACATAAATCACAGTGGTGAATTTCAGATAATATAAAAGGGCACTGGTCATATGCTATGTCATATGCACAACTGTATACCTGGCAGGAAACCAGAACCTCATCAGTTACCTACAGTTTGCTCCCGTAACCTATGTGACTTCACTTACTCAAAGTAAAATACCATAGAATTCTAGCTACAGTGTACGTGATTTCTGGTGGTGGGAATTCAGTGAAATGGATACAAGCAGTGATAATACATTTAAGATGACCAAAGCATTGCTAAAACAGATATACTGAATTTCTGAAGTATTGATATACAGCATCTGGACAACAGGGAAGTTATTAGATAATGTTAATCATCTGTTGGTGATGCACAATAGTTAGACTTCAAAGTGTCACAACCGTGACTTTTTCTTTCTGGAAAGAGTTGGTTATTCTGGTGGCAGAATTTTGCCACAAGGAACAATTTTTATGCCATATTGAAGACTAAATAAAATCAACTTATTAAAAAATACAGTGGGCTAAAAAAAATGACTTTTGTTTTTGCTGCTCTTCTGTGGTCTTTGTGGTTAAAAAACAATCATCTTTCTCTGGGAATGGAAAATGAAAGGATTTTCAGGAAGAAGTCAACATGAAGTTGCCTATTCTAATAACAGTTCCAAAATCTCTTTGTTGTGCTTTTCAGAATAAGTTTTTTTTTTCTGTCCATGGCCCAACCCCCCAACCCCTGCTCCTGGAATGCCAGTGTGTTCTTAGAGTGGTCTTCCTCATGCTTTGCAAAACATCACACAGAGGTGACATTGGAGGGTATATCACAAATGTTCAAACAAATGAAAAGATGAATGACAATAGCTGTTGAATATGCAGTAAGTACTGGATGACAAGTTGAATGCACTTTGAAAACATTGAGATCTGTGCTGGCTGAAATTCCTCATGTGACAGTATGAAGCATTGTTCAGGGTCTCCTCATCTTTGGTTATGCGTCATTTGGCAGCATTCAGGTTGTGCCATAGTTACAAGAAATGCCAGAGAAGTTGCCATGTTACATTTGGTGCAGCAATTTTAAGAAACAGTTTTGTGTCATCTTAGATACTTGACAGTGTCATCTACTATATGTCCACACAGAAAGAAATAAGCTCTTGTGTTTCCAGGGACTCAGAGGTAATAATAGTAATATTAGTGTGTCATCAAGTCAGTTCCAATTTATGGTCATCTTGTCTGAAGTTTTCTAGGTACAGGGTACTCAGAAGTTGTTTGCCAATCTTGTCTTCTAGGGATGATCTGGAATTGCGTGGCTTTACCAAGGCTACACAGGATGGGGAATCAGGTTCTGACCTCTGGCTCTGTAACCAGGTTCCAACTCACTGAGCTGTGCTGCCAGCTAACTGGGGTTTCTTCCCAAAGAAAAAAGGGCACAAGCTTTCATGTACTGAAAGACTCACTTCATAAGATGTACAGAGCAGTGCCTCAGTTAACAGATCATGAAATACCTGTGCGGTTATGGGGGGGGGGCTTGTAATTAGTGGAGTCAGAAGGAACTGGAATGCAAAAAATGACCATTTCCTTAGCAGTGGTAGTAGCTAACAAACAGTGGCTGTGCAGTGACGTAGAGATCCATGCTGGAAATAGATATGCTGGGGGAAATTCCCTCAAAAGCATGTCCAGGATTGCTACCTAACAGCTTATTTGTTGGACCACTGTCCATGGGCCTATTTTGTCACACAGGTACATAAAGTGGAATAGATCCAAATTGTAGGAAGGTGAACCCTTAAATACAAGGGGTAAGAATAAAACTCTTTATTTTATTTTATTTACAAAGTGAGACCAGAATGATGAACCACTTCTCCCACGATGTATCTGACCCAGTGCAAAAGTGCCACCCTCTTTCGAGTGATGGGCTATGAAAGGTAGGGCCTCTCCAGCTGAGGCAACCTGGTCTGGGACTTACACATCTGGCCTCTACTTTGTTCTCCTTTTGTCCTGTCAGAAAACGCAGCTTCATTAGGAAGATTTGGGGAAAATTAAATGCCTCAGTCTTGTGGAATGTACGGCTGCCTTGTTCTGGTGCTCTTGTTGCCTGAGGCCCATGTTGTTGTGCTGAGTTTTAAGTGGTTTTGTTGTTTGATGTTTGCTAGCTTATTGCTCTGGAAAGAAATGTAGAGTAGCAGTTTTGTTTTGTTTTTTTTAAAAAAACAATCACAGGGCAAGTATATAAACCCCCTCAGACAGATTGCTAAATGGGGATTAGGATGAGATAGAAAGGCCCCTCCCCTACCAGAGAGGCACATCCACAAGTCAGTGGACCAGGAGGTTTCTGTCAGCGTTGCAGGGGAATCTGCACCACACAAATCTTTAGCAGCTGGGTCCTTTTGCAAAGAGCAATAGCCTTGCCAAATCCAAACCTGAACTTGGTATCAGCTGCTGAT